TTGCTGTGTACTTAGCCCGGTGCCCGGCAAACAGTAAACACTGCATTGCTGTCGCCACCACTGATGTTATTTCTGCTACACGGTGTGTGCTCGCCTCCCACCCAGGTGGCTGAGCTGCGGAGATGGGACCCTGCAGCTGACCAAGGACAGCTCCTCTCCTCTTGGGAGGCGCCTGCTTGGGGATTAAGGCGATGCAAGAAAAAGTAGAGTAGGGACACGGAGGAAGGCAGCCTCGGGGGACGCTGTATGTGCGCCTAGATCTAACTGCACCTGAAGCAGAACCTGCCCCTGGACTTCTCACTTCCAGGAGCCGATGATTCCGTCTCAGCTCACACCACTTTGCCTGGGTTTCTGTTACTCGCAGCGAAGGCAATCGGGGGGCTCCGATAATAGGGAGGGAAGACAGGTGGGGGTGGGGTGGGGGAAGCTAAGGAAAGGAACAGAAGTGACACAACTGGAAAAGAGTACACTGCGTGGACGCAGGTGCCTCCCAGCTGTGTGACCGTCACCTGGGCCTGCCCCCGGGGCACCCCTTCGCTCCTCCTTGCGTGTGTTTTTGCATTGTGACTTGGCCGCTCTTCCCAGCAAGAGATGGAGTCTGTTTCTCCACCCCTCGAATCTGGGCTGACCTTGTCACTTGTTTGGGCCAACAGAACACGGTGAAAGGGAGGCTGTTTTGGTCCCCAAGCCTGGGCTTCAAGAACCCGTGCAGCTTCCATTTGCATCACCGTTGTCTGAAGCCGCTGAGTTCGGGGTGGTTTCTTACACAGCAGTAGCTAACCGCTACATCTGGTTCAATTCAGCCTTGCCCGGGGGCCTTCCAAAACCCAGACCTCCGGGACACATGGCGGGCTGAGGCCTCCCCATCCCAGTCCCTGGGGACACAGCGCTAGTTCTGAGACTGGGCCTCAGGTGACCTTGCCACTTCAATTCGCTTTCTTAGACCCCTGCCACCACCTTGTGGACAAGCCTGGGTCGGCCTGCGGGGGAACGAGAGACCACCGGGAGGAGAACCCGGCGGCCCCGGCTGACGACATCCAGCCTAAGACGGCCAACTCCCAAATAGGCGGGGGACCCCAGCCAAGATCAGCAGGGGCGACCCCAGGCCGCTGCTAATCAGAGAGGCACGAACGATCCCAGCTAACACCCGAATTACCCAGCTAACTTGTAGACGTGTAAGCAGTTATGAATGCTTACTATTAGAGCTCTCTGATGTGGGGGATATTCTGTTTTGCAGCCACGACTGATACACTAACTTGGTATCCACGGGCAAATGAATTCACCTCTCTGGGCCTCAGTTTCTTCCCATGAAAAAGAGGAGTCCTTTGGGGGTGGTCCTGAGGATGCCACGAGCTCATGACCCTAAAGCTCTTGGCACATAACCCGGCCGTCATGTGACAGACAGAAAGCAGAGGGAGACTTCAATGTCTCTCATTTTTTATTTTTAATTAAAAAAATTTTTTTTTTTTGAGACAGAGTCTCACTCTGTTGCCCAGGCTAGAGTGAGTGCCGTGGCATCAGCCTAGCTCACAGTAATCCCGAAAATCCTGGGCTCAAGCGATCCTCCTGCCTCAGGCTCCCGAGTAGCTGGGACTACAGGCATGCGCCACCATGCCCGGCTAATTTTTTCTATATATATTAGTTGGCCAATTAATTTCTTTCTATATTTTATAGTAGAGACCGGGTCTCGCTCTTGCTCAGGCTGGTTTCCAACTCCTGAACTCGAGCAATCGGCCCGCCTCGGCCTCCCAGAGAGCTAGGATCGCAGGCGTGAGCCACCGCGCCCGGCCCTGCTTATTTATTTATTTAGAGACAGAGTCTCGGTCTGTGTCCCGGGCTGGAGTACAGGCCTCCTCAAACTCCGAGGCTCAAGCGATCCTCCTGCCTCAGCCTCCTAAGCAGCTGGGACTACAGTCAAGCGCCACCACGCCCGGCTAGTTTTTCTATTGTTAGTAGAGAAGGGCAGGCCTTACCACGGCTCCCGCTGGGTGGCGAAAGTTTTTCATTGTCCACTTGGCCACCCTAACCTGGGGGCTCCCCCGACCCTCACCTGTGGGGGACTCCACCGTATCACAACCACCATTTTAAACGGACATGAGCTCACGTCCCTCCGCCACTCAAAACCCTCCTGTGGCTCCCACCTCACTTCAGATAAAATCCTAAGCCCTTCTCGGGGCCCACAGGGTCCTACGGGGTCCGGCCCACCCTGGCTCCCTTCCCGAAGCCTCTTCTACCAACGCTGCCTCCCCGCCTGGGGCAGCTCCGTCCACCAAGCGGACACCGGCCACCCCCAGCACCTGTGAACACGCCGGCCCGGGCGCCCTCTGAGAGTGTGCACGGTGTCCCCGAGTTGCACATCCAGGGCTGGAGAAGCGGAGGCTTGTCCTCCAGCTCCCGTCCCTCAGACTGTTTGGGTGGGGGGCACCGCCTGCCCAGCCTGTCCCCCCAGTGGCCCAGCAGGCTCCCGAGGTGACTTAAAAAGCCCCCCCCACACACGCACATGCCAGAACCATCCCTGTGCCTGCTAGAGCCGCAGGGACTGCCCGGGCAGGCTGGGGGCCAGGGCTGGGTCCATTACTTGTCTATTGCTGCCTAACAAATTGCCACACATTTAGCACCCGTTGGCAGGTGGCCACCGGGCGCGTTTGCACCTGGGGCGCAACTGAGGATGCATCCGCCACTGAGCTCCTTCCGATTGCGACAGAGGTCATTCCCCTCTGGCTGGGTGACTGCGGGCGCTGGCTTTCTGCTGGCTGTCCACCGGAGGTCCCCGAGGCCACCCGCAGTGCCTAGAGGCTGCCTGCAGCTCCTCGCGGCCACGGGGGTCCCCTCAGCGCAGCTGCGGGGACCGAGTCTTAGAGTGACCCGAGCTGGGGGTGACAGCCCACACTTCTGCCATGCGCTATGGGTTAGAAGCAAGGTCACGGGCAGGGGCCCTGCTGCAGAGGAGGGGATCACACAAGGGTAGGGGCACCGGGAGGTGGAGGGGCACTGGGGTCACGTAAGGGACCGCCTGGCACGGTGGGGCGCGGACAGCCTGGGCGTGGGACCGGGCCTGGCTCTGGCTGCTGCTCTAGCTGCTGCACAGTGGGGGCCGCTGTGGGACACCATGGGGTGTCCTGGGAGCCGGGCTGGGGGGCTGCAGGTCTCGGTTCACCCTCCCCTCGCCAGCCCCTCCCCGAGATCGCCGAGCGACCTCAGGCCGGTCACTCCAGCCTCTGCACCTGGCTGTTCCCAGCTACGGAACAAGGCCAACAGCAACCCCAGCCTCACCGGGCTGTCTTGCTCGCGAAGGGCTCGAGTTTCAGCCCCACCAGGAAGTGCAGCAATGCTTGCTAGTATTCCTGCCTCTGCTTCCCTGGGAGCCCCTGCCAGTTCTCAGGGCGTGACCCCGAACCCGCGGGCATCCTCGAGTCTCTGGGCACTGTGCGAGGCGTGGCGTGTTTTGGCGACAGTGTGTGGGACACCAGGGGCGAGTTCTGCCCTGTCCTCGGGGCGCAGGTTCTGTTCCGGGAGCGATTCACACCTGTCCTGCTACCGCTCACAGCGGACTGTTGGAGCGATGAATTCTAAAGGGCATGAATATCCGATTCCTCGCTCTTGCACTTGGCTAAGCAGCGACTACGGTTTCCGGAAGAGCCAGGCCGGGTGGTTTCCGCGGGCCAGCTCAGCCAGGCGTGGCGCCTTGGGGTCCGAGGGGGCTCGCTGGGCCGGGGGAGCCGGGACGGCTGGCGAGTGTCTGGCTGCCCTAGGTCTGGACCCGTCCGGCAGCCCCTCTGACTGTGGGCACAGCGGGGAGGGCGGGGGAGGGACAGGGGGCAGGGCCCAGTGCAGATCTGGGGGCCTGGGTGCCGCCAGCCTACACCCCCCCACCGTGTCCTTGGGAGAATGGGGTGAGTGAGGAGGCTACGAGTTATCACACTTGGAGGACCCCCCTGTCCTCCAAGAATGGCCTCGTTCCCTCCGTCCCTCTGAGCAGCACCGGCCTTGAGCCAGGCAACCTGGGTTTGAACTGGAGCCCCCTTCCAGCTACTGAATAGCTACCGTGTTTCCCCGAAAATAAGCCCTACCCATAAAATAAGCCCCGGCAGGATGTCTGAGCATGTGCGCCATAGAAGCCCCACCCCGAAAATGAGCCCTAGCGACGGGCGTGGCTGCGCAGCGCGTCTGCACAACCCGTGCGTGTCGTCGCGGGGCGGGAAAGAAGCCGAGCAGCCCTTCTTGTCCGCCCCATCGTGACAGCTCTGTGGCTCGACAGGAGAGATCGGGGCCGACGGATCTAAAGGAAACAGAGTCGCAAGACATTCAGGATGGGATCCGGGGTTTGGAGAGTGAGGATGATGTTCCAGAAGAAGACGACTTCACTATACTCTGAATAAAGGTAGATGGTTGTACCGTACTTAAAAAAAAAAAAAATAACACACCCCCTGAAAATAAGCCCTAGGGTGTCTTCTTGAGGGAAAATAAATATAAGACCCTGTCTTAGAGCCGGGCGCGGTGGCTCACGCCTGTAATCCTAGCTCTTGGGAGGCCGAGGCGGGCGGATTGCTCAAGGTCAGGAGTTCAAAACCAGCCTGAGCAAGAGCGAGACCCCGTCTCTACTATAAATACAAAGAAATTAATTGGCCAACTGATATATATATAAAAAATTAGCCGGGCATGGTGGCGCATGCCTGTAGTCCCAGCTACTCGGGAGGCTGAGGCAGAAGGATGGCTCGAGCCCAGGAGTTTGAGGTTGCTGTGAGCTAGGCTGACGCCACGGCACTCACTCTAGCCTGGACAACAAAGCGAGACTCTGTCTCAAAAAAAAAAAAAAAAAAAAAAACCCTGTCTTATTTTCGGGGAGACACGGTAGCCCTGCCTCAGTTTCCTCGTCTGTTAACGGAGCAGGACCTGGAACAGGGACGGGTGCGGTCACCCTTGGCCAGTGCCACAGGCCCGTTTCGGGCCGCAGGGGCGAGGCACCGCGAGGGAGGGGCGGGCGCCGAGGGGCAACGGAGGACGGCAGGCGGGCCCGAGGGCTGCTTTATTTCACCAGCACGACGCAGTCTCTCTTGGCGCCCTGGGAGGGGCGGCAGAACCTGAGCATCAGCCCCGCCAGGGCCAGCAGGGTGCCCGCGAGCAGCGCCAGCTTCAGGCCCGTGAGGACGGAGCCCGCCTTCCACCACAGGATCTCGGGGGCCACCTGCGGCCGCGCCCCGCTCCCGTCCCTCTGGGCCTCCAGAGCCTCCGGGCTGGACTTGGGGTTGAACTGGGCCATGAACTCCTGCTGCACGAAGCACCGGTAGATGGCCGCCCGGAAGACCTGCAGCTGCCTGCCGCCCGTGGAGGGGTCCAGGAAGGTGTTGAGGGCCTCGCCCGAGAGCTGGCTCTGCCACGTCAGGAGGGTGTCGTCGGCTTCCCAGGTGACGGGCCTGCGAGGGGGACAAGGTCAGCGAGCTGGCGGCCCGGGCAAGCGCCTCCAGCGCTCCGGGAGGGTGAGGATGGCGGCGGCCCCACAGGGCCGTCCGCAGGAACGGGGAGCACACCCCTTCATCTTAACGTGCGCCCCCTCTCTGTCCCCGTCCCCTCCCCCCCCACTCGCCCTCCACAGCCACACTGGCCTCCCAGATGCCCCCCCCACCGGCGGACGCAGCCCCAGCCCTGCCAGTCCTTCTGCCTGGAAGGCTCTTCCTCGCCTGCCCCAGTGGCCCCCTCCCCTCCCGGTCCTGGCCAAAGGCTCCTTCCGAAAGGAGCCTTCCCCGCCCACCCCCCCATCCACAACTGCGTCCCCCCACCCCCACCCCCACCCCTCCCTGCGCTTATCACGGCCCCAAATGCTGTCTGTTTTGCACATCTTAAACCACCCCATAGCCTCGCTCCACAAGGGCAGGGATCTTTGTCCACTTCGTTCCCCGCTGTTTCCCAGGGCCCCACGTCAGTGCCCGGCATACAAACGAGCAGGGAAGGTGTGTTCGGTGCATCGATGAACCGGGCACCCGGCACGCCCAGCAGAGCAGCCAGGACGCCCAACGGAGCCAGGGCAACGCGCAGCGGCGGCGGCCCCCACCTGCGCGCAGACCGGGGAACTGGGTGCCGGGCGCTGTGACCAGCACTTGGCCGGCTGTCAGCCTCCCTAAACGCCACAGTGACCCCATGAGGCCCCCCCCCGTGCCTGTGGAGCTGGATGGAGCCCCCCTGAAATTCATGCGCTTCCCAGAACCTCAGAACGTAACCTTCTTTGGAAATTGGGTCATTGCAGATGTAATTAATTAAGATGAGGTCAGGCTGGAGTAGGGTGGGCCCTAAATCCAATGTGACGGGTGTGCTCTCAGGAGGAGGACAGACGCAGAGAGAGGCACGGACAACAGGAAGAGCGCCAGGTGGTGACAGAGGCAGATGTCGGGGGTGAGGCAGCTACAAGCCAAGGGGGACCACGGACCTCCGGCTGCCGCCCGCAGCTGGGGAAAGGCCGGGATTCTGCCCAGCACCTCGGAGGGTCCGTAGCCCCCCTACCGGCTTCTCCGCTTCAGCCTCCCAGCCCCTGGAATGAATGGTTGGGAGAAAATACATTTCTGTTGTTTTAAGCCAAAGTTGGTGGTACTTCACTATAGCAGCCTCATGAAACTGATTCACCCCCATTCTACAGGTGGGGAAGCCGAGGCCCAGGCAGAAGCCACGAGGCCAACGCCACACATCGGGGAGGGCAAGGGGACCCCCGTGGCCAAGTATGTGGGAATTTAGGGTACGCGCTGCCACTTCCCGCCACAGATCGGGGGAGAGGGCTGGGCCACTCGGAGCTGCCATTTCCCTGTGAAATGGACCGTTGGGAGCTGCTGGGGGAGGGGGAGGGGCGGGAGAAGACGGCACAACTTCCCCATCCTCACAGCTGGGGGTGGTTGTACTGCTTGTTATAGCACTTGTTTCTTATTATGGGGGGCGGGGAGGTGGGTTGGGGAAGAGGAGGGGGAGGGGCGGTTTCCCAGGAGGTCCAGGAAGGAAGACAAGAGCCCCTGAGGGGCACCATCCTCTCCTCCGGGGTCCCGCCAACCCTCCCAATAAGTCGGGGACCTCTCGGAGCTGCCCTCTGTCGTGGCTGACCCCAAGCCGCAGTCTCATCACGCTGCCTGGGCTTCCCCCACCCCAGCTGGCTCCACGCTGGGCCGCCTCCCCCTGGCCCCTGGGCAGGAATGGGGGCGGGGCCTGAAACGGTCTTGACCCCCCCTCGGAGCCTGCTGGGCTGACCCCCTTGGGACCCCCCTCTGCGCGCAGATGTGTTCCCCGAGGCCCCGTCACCTGTAGATGGATCCTAAGGGGCAGGAGAGCCACACAGACTCGGACTCCTCGTTGAGCTGGAAGCTGTCAAAGGTGATGTACCCCACCCCCATGGATGGCCTGTGCTGGCACTGGACGTGGCAGGACTCCACCTGCAGCTCAGGCCGCATGCGATTGGACCACAGGTCCACCTCCCCCAGGTAGAGCCAGCAGGGCGTGGGCTCCTCCAGGGGCTCCTGCACGTAGCAGTAGCCCAGGCGCTTGCGCTCGCCCGGCTCCCCGCAGCGGTTGCAGTCCTGCCAGGGCTCCCAGAGGGTGAAGATGAGCTCCTTGCTGTTCAGGTGCACAGACCCGTTCTCCAGGGGCTGCTGCCCCAGGTCCCTGTGTGTTACGTGCAGCACGGTGGCGTCCTGGAAGTCCACGTCGTACCGTGCCACTCGGCTGCCGTTCTTGTCCAGGCAGCTGTAGACGCCCGTCTGGGAGGGCGACGGCTCTCGGATGACCAGGCTGCCCTCGGGCAGGGTCTCTACGTTGGAAAGGTGGGTGATGTTGAAGGGCGGCAGGTCACCGGCGTGCGCGAAGAGGTAATGCCAGTGCGCCCCCGGGGAGTTGCAGTGCAGCAGGACGTCGTTGCCCGAGAGCAGGGCCCGCTGGCACTGCTTGCCTCTGGGGCAGCTGACCGAGACGTAGACCCCCAGCGCCGGGACGGCGAAGCCGAGCAGCAGCAACAGGGGGCTCAGCATGGTGGACTGGGACAGTGGCCGTGGCCGGCACCGCCTGGACATTGTGAGGCCGCTCCCATGAGCTCCGGCCTCAGCCCTGGTCAGTGCATGAGCTGCAGCCCGCACGGGCCTGTGAGGTCACTGTCCCCTTTTGTGACAAGCCGACAACACACGACTCAATTTCTACTTCACTGGGACAGGAGGAGACCATGTATGTCTGGTCAGGGCTGTCTCTACCACCTGCCTCCCCCAGCTTTCCCCAGGGGTGAGTCTACACTGCCGGGCATGGTCCAAGAGCATTGAAGTGTCGCCTGTGAACATTCAATGCATTTTTCCCGAACGCCTGCTGGGCTCCGGGCACGCTTGTCAGCACCGGGAAAGGGCAGCGGACAAGCCCTCTCTGGTGACTGTTCTGACGTCCACACCTCTCCTCCCACACAATCCCCAGCCACGCGGCCTCCCTGCTGTCCCGTCCCTGAGTGTGTCAGGCCAGCAGAGGGGCTCCTGCCTCAGGACTTTTGCACGTGCCGGCCCCTGGCTCTTCCCCCAGATATCCGCGTGACTCCATTCTTCCTAAACAAATAAATATTTTTTCTCAGCTGCCCCTTTTCCTATCCCTTTTCTAAATCCCTTCTCAGTCCTGATATTAAAAATAGTTACTGTGCTGGCTTGACCAGCTGTCATTCGGTCATTTCACAGACGTACAGCGGACGCCTGCTGTGTGCCAGCCGTGCCTCTGACCATGGCAGGGAGCAGGTCAGACGACGCCCTCGCCTTCCGGGAGCCTGTCGTCTAGCGGAAGAGAAACGCAGGAAACAAATCTGTGACACAGGCCGGGCGCTGTGGCTCACGCCTGTAATCCTAGCTCTTGGGAGGCCGAGGCGGGCGGATTGCTCAAGGTCAGGAGTTCAAAACCAGCCTGAGCAAGAGCGAGACCCCGTCTCTACTATAAATAGAAAGAAATTAATTGGCCAACTGATATATATATAAAAAAATTAGCCGGGCATGGTGGCGCATGCCTGTAGTCCCAGCTACTCGGGAGGCTGAGGCAGGAGGATCACTCAAGCCCAGGAGTTTGAGGTTGCTGTGAGCTAGGCTGACGCCACGGCACTCACTCTAGCCTGGACAACAAAGCGAGACTCTGTCTCAAAAAAAAAAAAAAAAAAAAAAATCTGTGACACGTGATGACAGGTACAGTTGGTTCTCATCACTTGCGGCAGTTACGTTCTACGAAGTTGCTAAGAACGCTGAATTCGCAAACACTGAGCAATTGCTCCTAGGGGAAGTACAGGGTTAGGTTCCTATAAGCTTCCGGTCATAACGTATTTGTCAGCCGATCAATACATAACCTTGTTTTATGTGTATTTTTGTTAAAGGCACTTTTTTTAGCGTGTACTGTTGATTCATTAGCAGTGAACTCACGGCCACAGCACCGTAACTCATGCCCGGACAACGCTTACCTAACACGCGTGTCTGCCCCGTTGGGCGCAACACAGCCTCCTTGCCTGTAGGGGCACTAGCGTGTCGCCTTATTCTACCCGAGCTGGGAACAGGCTCCCTCTCGCGTGACTCAGATTTCTCACCGTTCCCACCACGTGTCTGCAAATGCCTATGAAAGCGCCGTGGGTATTGATTTTGGAGTTACAAATAAATTCTAGTGAGTAGGCAAATCTGCAAATTCGGAATCCACAGATAATGGAATGAAGATCACCTGTAATAACAATTACTCGGGGACAACAGGGCGGGGGGGGATGGGGGTAGAAAGGGAAAGGGTGGTGTGTGGGTGTGAGCTATTTTAGGGAGGACGAGCTATTTCAGGTACACCAGGCTTACACACACCTGGATGGAGTGACAGGAAGAGCCATGTGGGCATCTGAAGGAAGCAGGTTCCCGGGAGACGTCCAAACCCTGACGTGCCTGCCTGGTTGGTGTCTTTAAGGGGAGTGGTGGCCAGAGTGGCTGAAGAAGACTGAACAAGGGCCATAGCAGACAGGCCAGGGGTTCATCTAAGTCAGGCGTCCTCAAACTACGGCCCGCGGGCCACAGGCGGCCCACCCGGTGTTTTTGCCACCGCTGCCTGTCCTGCTTAGCAGCCGACTGGTCCCGGGCCCACAGTGCGCATGTGTGGGATGTGCACTGCACTCTCCAACGGCCCTCCAACCTTCTGAGGGACAGTGAACTGGCCCCTGTTTAAAAACTTTGAGGACCCCTGGTCTAAGTCTTTGCTAAGATATGTGTCTGGCCCATGGCTCAGGGCTTCCTGTATTTGGCACAAGACGACGCTTAGACTTCTCTGCAACTGTGGCTTGCATGGTGTCTTGCTGCTGCCCCGCCCTGCAAAACCATCTGGAGTTTTTGTCGGCTTCCTGGGACCCTGTGAAGTTCCTCCATCTGACATCCATACCCCTATCCCTTCCTCTCCATTTCCCTCCTTCGCTCTGTCTCTATCTTTCTCTCCTGAGCCTACAGACTCTTTTTCTAGACAGGTAACAGGGGCTATGGGACAGTAGGAGAAAATCCACTCCCAACTTTCATTTTACGTAGGTGAGAAGCCACAAACTGGGTGGATCCAGCCTGAAGAAATGTTTTGATTGGCCGCTCTGGAGTGTTTTTGGAATATTTAAATCAGTGACCAACATGTAAAATCCAAGAGATTTCATATGAGACTCTAGATTCCCTGCTTTTCTTTAGACAGTGTGGGTGAGACTTCTGCTTACTGTTACAATTAAGTAGCTGAATCAGACCAACCCTGTAGCTAATAACAACTGTAGACTTTAAGATAACCACGATTAATATGTCTAAGGGATGACAAGATGAGGAATTTGAATCTATAGAGAAGAAAAATCAAACGGAATTCTAGAATTAAACAATATAACTTGTGAAATTAGAAATGTACTAGAAGGGGTAATAAACTATTAGACACAACAGAAGAAAGGGTTAGTAAAACAAAAGATGGGTCAGTAGAAAAATATCTATACTTAAACATGCCAGGACAAAAGATAAGAAAACACCAAAGTGTGTAAGAATCATATGAGACATTGTGAAATGTTACAACGTTCATGTAAATGGAGACTCAGAAGAAAAGGAGAGGTAGAACCCAGAAATATTTGAAGAGATACTGACTTAAAACTTTCCAAAACTGATGACAGACATCAAGTCACAAATTCAAGGCCTCTGAACCCCACACAGTATAAACATAAAGAAAATCACATCTAGGCAGGTTATTCAAACAAACAAACAATCAAACACTGCTGAAAACCAAAGAGGAAATTTTTAAAATAGCCTGATAAGAAAAGGACAATTTTTCAAAGCAAAATTTCAAAGCAACAAATATTAAGATTTTCAATTGACTTTTAAACAGAAATAATGGAAGTGAAAAGATAGTGAAATGACATCATCAAAGCACTAAAAGAAGATAACTGCCATTGCAGACTTCATATCCCTTAAAGATGGAGGGGAAAAAATGTAGGATTTTTCAGATGAAAACTAAGAGAATTCACTGCAGCAGAGTACACTAAAAGTAAATTCTCCAGGTAGCAGGAAAATGATGCCCAGTGGAAGCAAAGTAATGCGGAAATGAAGAGCACCAGAAGAGTAGATATGTGGGTGAAACTAAATTAACACTGAGTGTTTTTAAAATTAATCTCTTGTGGCAAAAGATGCCACAAGATACATGTAAAATAAAATACATGTAAAATAAAAATATTTGACTTCAAAAGTGCAATAGATAGGCCGGGCGCGGTGGCTCACGCCTGTAATCCTAGCTCTCTGGGAGGCCGAGGCGGGTGGATTGCTCGAGGTCGGGAGTTCGAAACCAGCCTGAGCAAGAGCGAGACCCCGTCTCTACTATAAATAGAGAGAAATTAATTGGCCAACTAATATATATAGAAAAAAAAATTAGCCGGGCATGGTGGCTCATGCCTGTAGTCCCAGCTACTTGGGAGGCTGAGACAGAAGGATCGTTTGAGCCCAGGAGTTTGAGGTTGCTGTGAGCTAGGCTGACGCCACGGCACTCACTCTAGCCTAGGCAACAAAGTGAGACTCTGTCTCAAAAAAAAAAAAAAAAAAAAAGTGCAATAGATAGAAATGCAATAAATGGAGCTAAATGGTTGTGAAATCTTTGCATTGGCTGGGAAATGTTACAAGTACAAATTTATATTATATTCTAATGAGTTAAGAATTAATGTTGAAATCTCTAGAGTAAATATTAAAAGGGTAATAAAAAGGATGTATATGTAATGAGCTAAAAAAGGGGGAAATGAACTCATAATACTTTATGAATCCAAAAGCCAGAAAATAGAAAAAGAACCAAAGAATATATGAACAAGTAGAAAGCAAATAGCAAGATAGTATATTTAAACCCAACTATATCTGTAATTACATTAAATTTAAATGAACTAAATATTCCAATTAAAAGACAAAGATTTTCATTCTTAATACCAAAACAAATATCTGAATATATAGTACTTAAAGGAGATTTATTTTAAATAAAGCAATACAGAAAAGTTGCAAGTAAAAACAGGGGAAAACATCATGCAAACACTAACCCACAGGAAACTTGTATAGTAGCTATACCAGTAACAGAAAAAGAAGACATGAGGGTCAAAAGTAATAGAGATTACAAGAGGCATTTTATAAAATGGCGAATCCAATAGGAAGATGTACAATCCTAAGTTTCTATGAACTAAAAACATACAAAGCAAAACCTGATATTTCTAAATGTTAAAATATACAAATCCACAAAGTTGGAGATCTGCATCTCTCAGTAATTGATAGACCATGCAAATACAAACTTAGTAGAGATATAGAAGATTTGAACCATATTATAAATAAATTTGCCCTAATTTATATATATGAAACAGTGTACTCAAAAACAGCAGAACATACATACTTTTTACATTTACATGAAACATTTGTCAAGGCTGACTATATTCTAGGCCATAAAGCAAGTCTCAATAAATGTTAATGGGATTGAATCATACTTTTTAGTCAGTGGAATTAAGCTAGACATAAATAACAAAAAGATAAGAAGAATTTTTCCAGATATTCAAAAATGATGCAATGAAATGTCTAAAAAAAACCAATGAGTTAAAAGAGAAATCACAACTGCAAGCAGAAA